TCCCCTCTCCTCTCTCCTCCCTATCCACCTATCTATCTCCCTTTTTCCCCTTCCAGCACTCTCATATTCCGGGTAAGAGTGACAACAGACGTAATTTCATTTTCCGGGAGAAATATGATTGTTGGCAACCGTGTTACGTGAATATCAAATTTCAAGATTGAAATTTCGTGCTCGTATGTAATGTTATTTATTGCCTCTATTTCATTTTTCCTCTGCGGCATTATGATAAAGTAGTGAAGCTGTATTTAGAAAGGATGGTTGGTTTATTCTGTTAGATCTGAAATGATTTTTTTTGGTGCAGGAAAGATTATGCTAATTGTGATGATAAGTGTGACTTGCTTTGTTGGCATTATTTCGTATTTAACATTTACATTTCATGACTGACTGTGCTGACTTGCTACTGCTGCTGCTACTACTACTACAACCATTACTACTACTACTACTACTACCACTGCTGCTGCTACTATTACTACTACTACTACCAACTGCTTACTGACCACTGCTACTACTACCACTAATGCTACTACTACTACCACTGCTACTACTACTACTGCTACTAATGCTACTACTACTTACACTGCTACTACTACTGTACTACTAACCAACTGTGCTACTACTACTGACTTCTACTACTACTTCTACCACTGCTACTACTGCTGTTATTGCTACTACCTTACTTGTAAAGTGGTATAACTATAATCACCATAATAATCTTTTTCATTATTACTATCCTCATCATCACTGTCTTTATGCGAATTACCTCACGATCCAGAATACATGACAATTACCAGAGAACCGGAGTTATAACGTTTTGTAACTTTAATAACAGCAAGTTCCCGGCGTGCTGCATGGAAATATTTCGTTTTATAAAGGTCTGGAATATTGATACATCATCTGTATGTTTCTGCGTATTGACAGGTCATTTGTATGCAAGTGTCAGTGTCGAAAAGCTAGACTAGAAAAACAAGGAAGTGGTATTTATTCATTAGTAATCTATATGTTATTATTACTGTCCAATATGAATATTATTGATTTATTCTTATTGTCATTTATCGCCCTCTATCATTCGATTTTCTATATAAATGTATGCATGTGTCTCTCCATCTGTACATGTATATAATAATGGTTATATTCATTACTATATTTCTCCTTCGATTTTGAGAAGAAAATTGCATATGAAAGTATAAAAAGGATAAAAAGAATAAATAAAAAATAAAATAAAATAAAGAAAAAAAATAAAAAATATAAATAAACAAATAGATAAATAAATAAAGAAGAAGAAGAAGAAAAAGATTAATGGGCTGCGATATGTCAAAGTAACCAATTAATCAAGCCGCTGAAATGGGTCCAATTAGTGACGGTTGCACAGCCAGAATACCTGATTTTCTGTCATTAGTCACTGGCAGACGGAATGTATGTCATCTAAATATTTCATTCCAAATACGAAAAAAAAAACATGAGTAAACTAAAAAAAAAAATGAAAAAAAAGGAAAAACGATAATCAATACCTATGTCGGGTTTTACAGTAAGTATACTAATGAATTATCATAAATGCTGACGCAGAAATAAAGGCTTATCTGACTATATATCTGATAAATATACATTTGTCTATTTGCCTGGTTGATATGCATGTCTAGACTGATAAATATGTATTTATTTCTTTATTTATACATGCCTCGCACAATTCTAACAAACCGGCAGTTATACTAGAAGCACTTGGAGGGCGCATACCTCCGCCTAGGCAATAGGATCACTAATGCAATAAAAAGATATTTGCACTTGAAGGTTTGGTATAAAATCACCTCTTTCTCCAGCACACTGGAGACGTCCATAAACTTAACCTACTTGGAGGAAGTAATGAAGACAATGATAATGATAATAGGGGTAACTGACCCAATCATTTCAAAAATTCATGGATCTGAATCATGAACTGTGATCACCAACATTTAATGGCATTTAAGTTAGGCTAAGACACACTGGTAAAAAAATAAAAAATCTGTTCATAACTTTTTGAGCTATCCTGCTAACAATACTACCACTACTGCTGCTGCTACTACTATTACTACTCCTACTATTACTACCACTACCACCAACTGCTACTATTACCACTACTACCAACTACTAATACCACCACCACCACCACTACTACTGCTGCTTCTATTTCTACCACTTCTGCTACTACTTCTACCACTGCTACTACTGCTGCTATTCCTACTGCTACTACCCTTACTACTTGTCTTTCTATCTCTAGATTATTTCATAACTTTTTTGGCTATCCTGCTAAGAAACAAAATAACTAACTAACGTTACCAAAAACATAACCTTGGCGGAGGTGATAACAGGGAGTGAAATAAGGCACAGCATATCGCAAAAAATCACATCTCATTTATTCATATAAAAATACATGGTAAATGCTTTCATCCAAAATATCAAGACACACCCAATCTGTACAAATTTCATGTTTATTCTCTTAATCTAGGCAAGTGTATAAGGAGGAAGA